CCTCTTTAGCTGTGTATATGTAGATTAATTTTTTTGCACCTATGATTTCCACAATTGCCTGCTGAATACTAAATATCACGCATGGCCTATGTCTATATTGAATTTCAATATTACTGGGTTTTCATAATTAGTATAATTAACCCATGGTGATTTAGTAGTTAAAGGTCTGACCAGGACTCACCTGTTAAACAATTTATGATTACAATTTTCCGGGTTACCAAATATAAGCTGTTTGTGTTCTGTTTCATATAAGTGACCTAAATTACGTTTTGCTGGTTATGTAGAAATCTGCTTAATTGTAGGGTTGTATAAGCTAAATAAGTTCTAACGCTGTTTTCTATGTTACGTAAAGAGCTGACTAGGCTATAATTTCCCCAAATTGTAGTTTAGAGGGTGAAATTTTGGTGTATGGGTAGTGGTATTTATTATTTTGTAGTTACATCAATTTGAAATTTGTTGGTCATGTGCTTAAATAGTCAATCTTGGCTTATTGTAAGATAGCAATTTATAAATTGGATATTAGTCTTCCATCCTTTTTATAGGTGACGTGATTTCACTTTTTTTCAAGTTTAATATAAAGACGTCATAGACACCTGTGATAACTTCTTCTCAGAAGAGTGAAATTTACAATTATTAAGTTAGCTAACGCTGCAATTATACTTTTTAAGTCGTCGGTTTTAAGATCTAGGTTAGAGAGTCTTGCTGAAACTTTCAGTCTATCTGACTATACTCTTAAAAGAACCGATGAATTTAAAATATCATAAAAATATTCTTGAAAATAAGAAATTTAATCTATCTTACTGTCTAATATTATTCTGGGAATCTTAATATATTTTAAAATTACATTTCACTTAAACAAGCTATATATTTCTAGCGTGTATAATTTTATCTTACCAAATCTTAAATTCAAGATTATTATCGTAACTAAGTACATATATATATAACAATTTATTGAATAAAGCTCAAGGGGGAGCCAGGGCCCTTCCCCTCTGTTGGGGTCTAGGCGGGGAGGCTTGGTTGGGGGGGGGTTGACCAGCGTCTCTGGAGGCCTCGGGCCTTATGCCTAAGGTCACACCGCTCCCGGTGGTGGTTTTAGCGGTTTTCCACCTCACCAGGTCGAATGGCGGGAGTCCGGGCCCGGTATTTTCCGCTTTTTCGTTCCTCCGGGGCAATTAGAACTCTCTAAAGAGCATGCGCGGGTGGGCACCAGTGCCCTAATTCCTGCAGATGAGGGGAAATTCTGATTAAGTGGCTTAAAGTCTGAAGACCGGCCCTGGTAGGCCAATGCTAAAACAAGATTAAGGGGGAATTTTAGAATCATTTTTTTTTGTTTTTTTTATATTTTTACATTTTTGTGTACTACTTTTTATAATTTTTTAACTTCACTTATTTAATCTATCTTATGTTTATTCATCTGTTCTATTTCTTTTTACTTTCAAAGCCTGTTACAGTCCATTTAAAGCTACTTTAATTCGTGAAACGCATGTGTTGCGTTTATAGTGTTCAAGCACTTCCCCCCGTTGTGCTTCATCAAGTTGATCTTTAAGATTTGTGGTATATGCAAATAAGTTGAATTTTCTAATTTTGTTAGTAAAAAGGCATTAGAGATTTCTGCTATCGCAAGGGTTTGCCACAGGTAATATTGTTCTTAAAGTACTATTGGAAAAAACCGGTGCATATATTTCTTCATGGTCGATTTCTTTTTCTTGAAAACTCCTTGCAGGGACTCTGGCTAGTTGTAGTTAAATTATTCCCATTTTTTGTAACTTAATTAGCGTAAATATAATATAAGAACCTTGGTGTTTCCTTAGATATAACAGTTCTGTACTAGTGGCATTCATGTATAGTTTCCGATCTTCTGTATCTAACACAATAAAACAGTATACACAATACCTAATCTACTATTTAAAACAGGGTACAAAACAAAACACAAAATAGAAAAACAAAAATAAACATAGACTAGAAACATATTGTATAATACATTAAGTATAAAGTACACAACCCTAAAATAAAAATACAACGTAAGACACTAACGCCCTAAATTTTCACAGGAAAAATGATCCGTGTTTAATCCAATCAGAGACCTGAGAAACGAATAATAAAAATATAAGAAAAGAGGAATTAATATTCCAGCACAAAAAATACTTTTGGGCCTATCTTATTAATTAAATACAAACTAAACCAAGTATAAATATAACTGTTTCAATTAGATTTACTTTTCATATATGGAAGCACATTTCTATCTTTTGTAAAGGTAAATAAATACAGACTGAAACTGGTTAATAAATTAAATCCTTGCTTTATATCTGTTTTTATGTTTTTATCCAAATATTGATAATAATTTGGCTTCATTGAATGTAAGATATGTAAGGTCTAGTAATGAAACATAATTTTCGTTTTTTTAATATCTGAAAGTTAAGTTTCACCATCACTATGAGCTTTTATCATGAATTAATTGATTTTCTTCCTCTTTAGTAGTAATAAGTTAATTTAGTTTGGTAACTATTCCACTTTCCAGCATGTAGGCTATATATTTCTTATTGGTCCTTAAGTTTTTCCATTTTTGTTATACGAATGTTATCTTGTGTATTTTTGTTTTGTACCTACTACGTGTCTTTATTTATTTGTTAAAATTTGTAGGATTTTTATATAAGGTTTACATATGTTCAGTTAGGTTTAATTTTTCTTTGGTTAGGGTGTAGTGTTTTCTTAATTGTATTTAGTTTTCTGTCATGTTGGGTTTAATTCGATAGTTGTTATACTTAGATCTTGCTGCGTTTTTTTAGGTTTTAAAGTCCAGTTAACTTTCTGGTTTCAGTAAGTTTATTCAGTTGAATGGATTAATTTTAGTTTTTAATGTTATATACATCCTTGTGTCTAATAAATTTTAATATTTTAATCATTATTTTCTGGTTTATTTAAGCATATATTTGCTTAAAAAGTTTTATAATAACTAAACATTTTTATTATTATTGTATAATATTAAACTATCATCATTATTATTACTATTGTTATAATTTTAACTATTAATATTATTATTATTTTCAAAATTATTGTCATTATTTTTTAATTAATTTCTTCCAAAATTGGTCATTTGCTTTGCGTGCTGTGTGTCGTATTAAGGGTAGAAGACTTGGTTATTATTTAGTTGTATTAATTCACGCCCCCGGCACGCGTAATATATAGATATTTACTATAGCGCCTATGCCAATGATGTGAAAGTAAGAAAGAAGCAGAAACAGGTTTATTGAATTGCTTGACGTCACACCTATATAACAAAGGTAAAGTAGAATGTGCGGTTCTACAACATTTATACAACTAATTTTATAAAGCATTAAATGCATCATCCGGTTTTTATAATAGTCGTTATTGGCTATAATTATCACGAGATAAGCATTAGTTTTCCACGACTGCCTGCCTCTCGTCACTATACATTAAGTTAAAAAATTTATTATTCGTGACTTCTAAACTCATTGTAATAAGGATATGCATATTCAAGGAACACTACGCCCCTGGTTTTAAATATTTTATTGGTTCGCGTCCTTTAAATTTTTGTATTCTTGCGAGTTGCGTACATATCGGAATAGCGGTGTGCCTACCTCTATACCACCGATTTTTAGGCTTAGAGTAAGAAGTACTTTGGTTCCATTGGTTTGTAATTTTCATTTTTTAATTTTATTCCTTATATATCAGTTGGTAAGTTATCTTCGTTTTGCTTTTTAAGATGGTTAATAATAAAAATGGCATTGTGTAGCCCTCTGACCAGTAATAGCTGGGTAATTTGTATTGTTTTTAATAATACAGCTCGCCATGTTACATATCAAGGACGCTTCTATCGCTTAACATCTATCGATGGGTGCCTTTAGGGGTTGAACTTTTTTTTGTGCTGTTGGCCTTGAGCACCATAATATTTTGATATTCAGGATCTTTATCGGTCCTGGTCACCTCTATGGCAGCAATTACTGACGTCCGGTTAATATTCCTACTTATACTATATTTGTTGCCATTCCTTATGTAACTTAATAAAGTAATATCTATGTAAAGTTCAGTTTTATTAAAGTTAGCTGTTAAGTGCTTTGATCTTGTATTCGTGTCAGTAATTATATAATAGTAACCATCGTAAGAAGTTATACCCCATTGTAGTATGTCTACATAGAGGAGTTGAGTGAGAAGTTTGAGTATATGCCCTTCAATCTTGGACAGGTTTTTTTTTAATTGACCTGTCTTTCATATTTCATGTTCTTTGCAGGTAAACGGGTTTTATATTTGGATAATTTTGTTTTATGTATTTATAAATTGCCTATCCATATAAAGTATGTTCGCCAGAAATTTCTTTGATTTGAAGCGGTTGTTGCTTTGGGTGTTAATTCCAATATTGCCGTTAAGTATTGTGAGTGAGTTCAAATATTTCCTTTCTCCTTATCCCTTCTTTAATTTATTGAACTTTACTAATTATTACTTTAACCACTTTCATTTAGCTTTGTAACAGAGCAAATATTTCTCATTTTCGGATTCAAAGTAGCTTTATTTTATTAAAAAAGTTATATAACCTACTTGTTGGCCTTTCTTTGTTAACTGAAGGTGTTTACAGAAGTTGATTCTTGTTTGATGTTATTAAGTAGGTCTTTAATCTGAGATTATACGTGGGTATGCTGCTGAGTTCGATAATGTAGTTTGTTACTGTTTTTTGAAGATTGTAATAGGCGAACTAGACCCTCAGTTTTATGGTATCTTCTTTATGTACGAGCTTTCATTATTTGGCGGAATTTCTTACGCTAATGGCAAAATTTGTTAGCAGGAGAGGATAATGAAGTACGACGTTTTTCCCCACATCTTTGACAATATAGTAATTTAAGTTTTGATGGTTTTGAGTTTGTTTTATGGATTAGATCAACATATTTCGTTTTGCTCTGCTTTTGGTCATCATACAGATAAAAATTCATTATGATAAGGAAAGGTTTGCGGATTACTGTTTTGGTACTCTGTCGTAATTCTTTAGACGAAGTCAAAGTCAAGACCATCTTTTAGTTGCAGAAAGTTTTGTTCTGCGGTGAAAGCTTGTTTTCCATACCCACCCCTAAGTCGATATGTCACTGCATGAGTTTTCAACATGTCTACCAGTCTAGATAAGGCAGGTAAAAAAAACTTTATCTGTACTTCGTAGAATAATGGGAATACCTAAAAAATGTAATGTAATATGAATGATATATATCTTCATTATTTTCTAGGCTTAAGGTTCACAGGTGTCTGAGCTTTCAATAAAGTTAGTGGAGAGTGTGTTTCAAATACGTCTCGAAACACCTGAATCGCTTTTTCCAGGTGATTTATATCAACCATCCTTTTCTTCTTGTGATGGAATGTAAACTTTGACATAATTCTGAGTTCTAGAGCGAAGTCTATACATTGGGTAAACGACGGTAGCACTAACTCATTATCCTTGAGCCACCGGTCGAATCATAGAATTGACTAAAGAAATCTTTGCTTAATTAACTCAGGATTAAAGTTTAAAGATTAGTGCTTGTGTTGTACTATATATGATCTTCGAACTGTGTATACTATGGTACCTGTACTATACTGTTCTCTTAGCCAGCTTGAGGCTGGGAGTGAGTTTTACCCGTATGCTCCTTGTTCTCAGGCTTGCTTGGACCGGTGCGGAATAGTGTTAGCTACTATGCTTAGGTTGCTCCTAGCGTGGTACTAGCACTACCCTGGATAGTGCTACTACGTAGTATACGTATAGATAAAGCGCGGCGAGCCGGTTTTATGATTTAATTAAGGGGTATTTCTTCTCGTTTAATTTATTCGGAAAAAATAGGTTATGGTTTTGATTGAGTCAATTTCTTTGTTAGTGAGAGATTTTTAGTCATGGTGCTAATAACGTGATAAGAAAATAAAAAAATATTGATAAATATTAAAAGAATATAAATAAAATCTAAATACAAAGAAGATATAAAGTAAACAGATGGCAATTACTTCAGCATCTCATCAATGATGTCCATCGGGGCCAGACTCTTTTGCCAACATTAACTAGCTCCTTAGATGTTAAAATGCAATTGGCAGTTAAGTGAGCAGCTGGTACGTTTTGGGTAGCAAGGAAATCAGCAAAAAGTGTAGTTTTGCCTTCATCACTCTCGTCCACTATATTTCCTATATGAAGGGTCGGTAGTGGTGCAAATCCTCGATTTTTGACCCTTTTAACAAACATCCTTCCGGCGGGGGTACTGCTACGAGGCCATTAGCTTCTCCCTTATGCGCCTGTGCAATCGATTAAGCGCAAGTTTGTCTTTGGCGCTCTGCGACATGACCACTTGGATAAAACGTCGACGTTGGCGAATGAGTGTCTTTATTTCCTCAGGCAGGCGATAGGGGCGGTACGTTACTTCACGGGTGGTCGTGTCAGTAGTGCGTGCCACGTTCCGTGCGCTTTTGAGTAAGGCGACGGAAGCATCCAGCAGAGCGGATGTAGACAGTAGTGACCAACACGACGGGAGAGTGGCTCCTAAAAACTCAGCATGTTTGTCCCCGTTGATAAAAAAGTGGGTGACAGTTTTCGGTATGTCCTTCTCGTCGCCTAATTAGGGAATAACTGGGAGGTGATCGGAGTAAAGCTCGTGGAGCGCTTCAATAGCCGTTGTGAGGCTATATATTTTTGTGTGGCTAGTCCATTGTGCCTGTAATCGGCAAGTGTGTTGGTTGCTGGGAGCCTACTGTGTACAGCCCGTGTTCATCAGCATAGGTCTCAGGGATGTGGCCTTTCGAATTCTCGGCTCGGGTGTTCCATGAAGGGTGCTCACAACTGAGACACCCCGCGCAAAACAGCAGAGGAGTCACTCGCAAAAAAAATCCTCAATAGTTGAAAGATCGAGTTCACAGAAAATTCCACGGAGGACAAATTTCAAATTTCATAGGCATTCCCTCAGAGAGTTGATATGTAAAGGATTGAAACCCCTGAGCTCGAAAGATCGCTGTTATAGGGCTGTAATCGTTAGATGTCATAGGAAATATCTTGAATCAATGGCGGATGTCTCTTATTCGTGGGATATTTACGCCGTTGGTTTGCAAAAGTTAAATTATTAAGGGTTACTTTTGTCTTTCTCATAGAATAATGGGAGGAATCTTTCTTCTACGAGATCCCATTTCATTGGATCGTTCACTTCGCCCCGGAGCAGTGCATCTCACGTCTACTCTGTGCTCTAAATTTTTCACGGGCTTTTCCAGTCTCCGTAGGTTGCACTACTCTCACTAATCTTATTTATACTATCATAAGTTATGTTACTGCCATGATTATTATTAAAAATTTTACTACTACTTAAATTATTAATACTAATAGTGCGATCGCTCTCAGCTATATTATTAATAGAAACGCTATTATGAGAAGTATTAATATACTAAAACTACTATTACTACTATACTTTACCGTTGAAAGTTTCGTTTTTTGGTTGACTCTAAGTTCTCGCATTCTTCTACTGTTTTAAAAGTCTGTGGCTGATCTGGATTTCGTAAGCTGACTAATATTATTATTAGTCATCATATCATTAGGCTCCTTTCGTCTCTTAGACTTTAGTTTGTCCTCAGTAGTTTTTATGTGCTCGTTAAGTTTAACTTTTGCTGAGTCTAACCCTCTTCTGAGTTTTTCGTTGACAGCTAAAATAAGTTAGCTATCAAGGCTTGCAGCTCTTCCTCAGTAGAGGGTCTCATTTATTAAAACAGATAAAACGTAGATAAATAAAGATGAATAAAGAGAAAAGAGGTTATAACGAAAATAATAATGATAAATAATAATATATAATACTATAAGAAGCTTCAACAAGTCTGACAACTGTAACTAAAAAGTAGAGGTGCACAGGACACATCCAAAAACGGCAAGAGGAGGATTTTATATTTAGACATAAGTATATTAACTTTCCATATAACACGTTCTACTCTGCAGTACCCTTTTTCAGATAACAAAACTATTATATATATAATTACCTTACGGTTCTCAAGCTAAACAAGATAATAAATAAGGAACTATTAAAAGAAATCTTGGATAAGATTTACCATTCGCCTCTCCATCTATAAATTATTTGGTGAACTAGGCCATTATAAAAATTTGATAAAGTTGAGTGCCGTTCTCAGCTACAACAATTACTAATGATTCTCAGCAGTTAGCATACGTTTCTCAGTAAGGTTGAAAATTTCTGTGCTATCTAATTGTTTGGTACTATCTTAGTTTAATAATAGCATCAAATTACGCAAACACTGCTTTAAATTTTTATTAGGGGCATGTTTGTTTGTTACCACGACAACAAGCGGGGGCCCATAATAAGCGGGCAGCAATCATTTGTTAAAGTCTCGATTTCTATTAAATATACAATCCTTCTCAAAGGCTGAGCTAGTAGATCTATGCTACTTTGTAATAGAATAAACCTTCCACAAAAAAATATATATTTCTAAATTAATCCTTCCAAATGATTCATAAAGCACAGCCATCCTACAAATATGAAAACGACAAACTGCATATGTACACAAAAACCGGTGGTCTACGCTGAAAAAGTAAAAAATTTCATACTCTGCTTAGTTAGTCTTCTCTCACACCTCTACTAACTTTAATAATGATGAAATTGCACAGTTTACCACAGTTCGTAAAATCTTAAGCCTTTCTAACTTATCAAAGGTAAACAAAGCAGCAAAAAGACTACCAGTACGTATAATTAAATATGTCACTGTTTTAATAGATAAATAATTAATGGCCAAAGAAAAATGGCAACTTAAAAAACTAATAACGTAAGGGAAAGAGAGTTTCTTCCTCATCTATTTGAAGAGCATATTTTAAGTTGAAAATTATTTGAATTGAATGTACCTTGCTAGTCTGGTCATAATTACTGAATACATCCAAATTATTGTAACTATAAAACTTATTAAGTAAGATACTCTAAGTATTATAGCTAATATATCCAAACTTAAAATGTCCTACAGTTCCGGTGTGCTCTTCTATTAAAAATTTGTTAGCGTTAAATAATATGAATATTATATTTTTATGGCCTGTAGCGATAAGTACTTTGTCTCCTAAGTTAATAAACGTTTTATTTATAATGGTAAAGGAATTTTTTCCATATAGATTCCCTACTGAAACCTATTTTATGTTAAAGAATGAAAATAAGTACCTTTGACATTTTACAAAAAAATTAATGTCGAAAAATTTGTATGTGAAATGTTATTTATGTATTGGTAGTCATGTTGATCTTTAAGACTATTATTATTTAATTTTTACTAAAGTAATTACATAGCTTGACTTGCATAGGTTTTTAAAAAGCTAATTTTCTTTTGACTAATTTACTGTCGAGCTAACCGGTCAACTATCTACTAACAAACTGGGCCACCGACATTGTTGCGGTGGGGCTCCGTAAGAAACATTTTTTTAAACCGATAATGATATACTATTGGCTAGCTACGTTCATCTTAAATCATTCTGTAACCAGCTAGACATACTTTCTTATTAATGTTGAAAAGTTGAAAATACCTCTCCTTTATTCAATGGGAGCTGATTTTTCCTATAATAATTTTGAAAAGGTTATCGAAAATGAGTTATGGTGGTTTTTTGTGGGCCCTTATCCACTGCTTTCACAAGTGGAAAGCCCCGTTGAAGAGAAATATAAGGAAGAGTTAAAGAAATTCTGGGATCAGTTTTTAAATTTTCAGGCTATTTTTCCAATACAGCGGTGCGTATAAATTTATTTAGGTCATTTCTTTTCCCGTAAAGTGTCGGTTACAGTAGCCTATAATATTATTCACTGCAGACCAGACCAAATTTTGCTATGGGAATCATTATCTCGTTCATTATCCTATTTATTGCTTAATAACGATCATACTAGTCATATCCAAGCGCTTATGACAAAACTTATATCTTATCCTGTTGTTTTAAAAAAAGTAGATTTAAAGTCAAGGCCTTCGGAAAAAACTGTAAAGTATTCTATGTTTACTACTCACTCCTTTATGATAAGTTTTCTTTTTTATATCGTTATTTATTATGTATTACAGACTTTTAGAAGAAACTACCAACTGCGTTTTGTTACTAAGAATAATTTGCCAATTTATTGTAGAAAATGTAAAGAGTGCATACCTTTCTCAATATTTCAGCACAACGCCTGAAAAGGATATGAGGGGTTTGAACGATTTCTTTTTTTTTTTTTTAATACTTATATATATAATGTAAAAAAATTACTTATTATTTTATAATAGCTTTAATATTTACATTATTATTAAGGTTTGGAGGAAGAATCAGAAATCTTTTTAAATAATTTGTATGAGGCGTTAGTTAATATATTGCTTATCGCTAAACGGAGGTTTTTAAACTTTTTTTTTTGGCGTAGTTTAACTAAATTGAAATCAGAAAAATGTTTATGCTATGTATATAAATTAAAGCCCTCAATAAAAAAATAACTTTTTTACTTAACTGAGTTTTGCTAAATATTTAAATGCCGTTTAATTTAAGTAAATACCTTCGGAATTGCTTTTAAGATTAATATTCTTTCGCTATACTTTTTATAAATAGTAGTAAGAAAGAGTTAAGCTTGTATATCGTGGATCTCTTTGAGATTCTTCTAGGTGGTTTGTACTTTGAAGAAAAAGAAAAAAACATATTTTTAAAAGTCTTAAAGAATTTGAGGTAGGCACATGTATACTATGATTACGTTAAAAATGGTGGTAATTGATATAACTTTATTATCTTTTAGTTATAAAACAAAAAAGAAGCTAATTCGAATTTTATTAAAGTTGACCGTTTCAAAAGTTGGTCATAAAAATTCTAGTAACTTATCCATATGTTCATCTAATTCTAAAATATGTTTAGTTTTGCAATTTTTAGATAAATTTCTAAGGGGATCCTTACAAGTTTCTCAGTACCTTTTTAGTGCGTTTTCCAATAATAGGTGGTTGCGGAGGTTCATATATATACCGACGCCTTTTCTATCTTATTTTGCTATTTACTAATAGGGACGCTCTCGTAACAAAAAAAGATATCAGCTTAACCAGTTCTCGAATCGGTCCAGAGTCTATCCAGTTGGTTTTCCCATATGGAACCTCCAATCATATCAAGCAAAGATTTTTCGAATCGAGTTCAGTGCTAAAGAGCTGCAGCTCGGCAACGGCGAGCAAGTGGTGTAAGGCAGCCTTGCCACCGGCAAGACGGCCCCCCTCTTGCGAGCAACAGGGGTCGAGTGTTTCGTATCGGAGCGGCTGTCTGCTGCTCTTACTGTTTGCTTGCGACGGGTGGGTTCCCGATGATAATGCAGCGGAAATATCTTTTCTGGACTGTCTGGAAGCCTTGAACGAGGAGGACCTGAAGCCCTCTTTTCTTAAAAAGATCTTCTTCTTTTTAGTGATGTAAGCACTGAACTCCCTTTCTATTGTGAATGACAGTTAATAATTTTTTCTTTTATCATTGTAGTGCGGATGAAACTGAAGAGCACAAGCTACTTTTACTGTATCAACTTATCCGCAAGAACAGAGTTGTTGCCTCTTATATATATTCAAGGGCGGATTTGGACCAACTCGTGAGTGCTCTATTTTACTGTCTCTTTATTTAATTTACTTTTCTTATAGATTCTTCCGTTACTTAAACTGCTCTACAAAGCAGAATGCCTTCAAGAAAAGTACTCAGTTTATGTTCATCGTGACCACATCTTATTTGTTAATAAAGCGATTCTTTACTTGCATCCTGTCGTTATTGCTGCTCTATTTTATACATGATGAACTTTTTGAACCAACAATTCTTTTTTTCAGGACGGTTTTCTTAATTCTTGTAGTTCTTTTCCTTCTCTCGGAGGACAAAACTTTTGGCTCCTTTGCCCACAAGCTGGTAAAGAGCATACGAACTTATCTTTATAAAGCCAACATACTTAGTTCCACTAAAATCTAAGAACATAAATTGTGCGGACTATCTATCTGGAAAGGTATATACTTTTTTATTAACTTTTGCTTGCAGCACTAAATAAATTTGAAAAATGCTTAATTAATTAATTGTTTCGCCAAAGGTGATAGAAAATATTTCCCTGGGGGGTCTCATGGTTGGTGCTCTTGCACATCTTTACCAGCAAACTTATACAATCTCGAGAGTACTGTGTGTTTGTAATACTATCATTAGCAGTTTCTTCTAATTATTATTATATATGTAGAAATATTTTATATGTGAATGTTGCATGGCAACGATAACAAACTTATCTGCAAAGTTTTATCAGCTGCACTCCTTTGCGACGGATAAACTCCTCAGGTCTAATAGTAAACGATAACAATAGTGAAAGATTCGATCATGTTATGAGCGGAAACAACTTTACCGCGCTATTCAGGCTTTTTGAGTTCCTCGTTAAACGCTTCGTGCACTTGAACGGGCACACACTGGCACAGCAAGAGTTTTCCAGAAAAGTTATACTCTGTAGTACCCAAAAAACATCTTTTTTTATAGAAAAAATGCACCATACAAGGAAAATGATGAGGCCCTCGCCTGTTATGATTCGCTTTTCAGCTTTCTTTATATGTTGAACAACACTTTTCTTTGCGGCATTCAACACAATCCCACTCTGTTATACGGTTGGTAAGTGTTAGGATATGCAACTCCCTTAAACTATTTGACCGAAAGGGGTGATGCAAAAACGCGCTCTCTTTGCTCCTCTGCGGACTCTTGCCAGATTCCACGAGCTTATGCAAAATATAAATACAGTATGTTTTTGTCGCATTGCACTCGTATTTATTATTAGGTAACTAATACTTTAAAGGTTTTAGATTACTTTAGCGATAAAGTAGAATTCTTAGACGTCGATAATTCTTCATATGAAATTGTTTATAGTATAATTCAAAGCGCTGCAAATCTTTTTCCTCAGAATCTATTAAAGGTAACAAAAGCATTTTTAAATGACAAAGCTTAGCTTTCATTGCGAATGTAGTTATAAAATTTTTATAATTACTTTATTTTATTATTTATACAACTGCAGAAGTTTGCTGTTTATGCTTGCGGCTTTATAAGGTTTTCTAAATTTGCGTTATTATAGGATTCACCCGTGCGACTTTATCAGTACTATGAAGATCCTCATTACTTCTTTAGGCTTATTATGTGAGTCGACTTCTTTAGACGTATAATTGTTTATTTAATATTTTGCTAACGAAGTTGATTATAATAGCGTTAATTATTAATTAAAACCAATTTTTCGGTTTCATAAAGAAAACATGTAAAGTACGCCCAAATAGTTCATATTTTTATTAACAAAAATCTTATGCTTGCTTAGAGGAAAATAAAACTTTTTTGTGTAAATTACCTTTCATTTTTTTTTTCTTAATAAGAATTATATTTTAGAAATAAAAACAAAGAGTTAATTTACTGGAATATAACTTCAAGTTTCAAGCCTGAAAGTTGAAATATTCTACCCCAAGGAATTAAAAAATCTTTGAAACTAAATGAGAAAATATCAAAGTATATATAAAACTTTGAAATAAAAATATTAAAATAAACATTTGAATGCTCAAGTAAAATAAAAAAAGTACAAGGGCAAGCGGGAAGTTAGTTTTTTAACTCTCTACGCCGTGATGTATACGTTATTTTGTTAATAACTAAAATAATTAGTTAACTTTATCTCGATATGCATGTTACCATTCCCAATTTCGTACAAGGTTTGGATAATAGAACTGTTTCTTTTCAAAACAGTTTAATACTAGCAACTTTTTTGGTTTTTATAGAAATCTTTGTTTTTATTTTTTTCAAGTACGACCGTTAAATATGGCGTATAAAAGTAAAAAAGCTTAAATTTTCCGTAACCTTAAAATTTTATTACGCCAAGCGTCTCAAAAAATAATGGAGTTTATTAGTTAAGATGTAATTGGGATGTTTCACAGGTCGTAAATCTTGAGGATTAAAGCCTTATAAACGACAAGTAATGTAAAGCAGTACAGGTGTAAAAAATTATAATATAGGATTACTGAAAACCTACAACAACTTAATTAATAAATTTAAAACTTTTTTTGCAAGCGCAGCACCCGACGACAAGTTCGAAAAAGTAGATACCCCAACATGACGTAAAACCACTTAAAATTCGTGCGCGAGACGTTAAAGGCCTAGATACTAGAAAGAATTAAACCTCTAGTACCAGCGCGGGTTATTTAACATATCCCTATTTCATTTGTCTACCTATTTCTTTTGCATAGGTAAACCCTAGTGGAGCGTGAGACCAGGAAAGAGCAAAACAGAATACATATAAAAAAAGTTAAGGGTACGATTCAAAAAACAAACAAAGTTCTCTATTAGTTTAGACAGTAGCGTAGTTTTTGTAAGCTATTTTATAGTCGTTATTAATGAAACTCTTACTTTACCTACTCACAAAGTTACCAAGGCGTTGTGGAGTGTATCTTAATACCTGCCTGCTTTATGGTCTAGTATTTGCGTCAAATAGGCGCCTGTTCAATATCCTCTTGTTTATTAAAACTTTTTCGCCAAATTGTAAGCTATTGAATGCACAAAACTACTTCAATATAATTAAATTTATTTTCCCTTTTTTAAAAAATATATTTGTGTTAAAATTATTATATTAAACTCTAGTAACTTGGAACTTCATCAATATATAATACAGCTTCACACAAGGTACATAAAAAAAACTTGTAAGTTTGAAAATATAATGATTGTATAAAGCAATCTGATATGTATACTTTTCAAAAACCTTTTTTTCGTATATCACTAAACAAAATAGCACGTTAACGGATGGCTCATATCTTTCTTTTGGTTAAGGTTTCTGGTAATCCGGTAACTCTACGCATCTACATTGAAGATTAAAGATGTTCTGGTTTCTCTCGTTAAAAAAGCAATGTACCTCGCTTCTTTAAAACTTCTACGACAGTTTTAAATGTCAACTTTGCAAGAGTCAGTATAATCAAATTAATTTTACTAGTAAGCTCCCCTTTTTACTTTACTCAGCTATATTATGCTTCACTTGATCATAACTACCGTTATATTTTCCACTTGCTTAATAAATAAAACTCGCAGGCCTTGAGATATTTTTTGCAAATCCTTTAGCAATAATTGAAAGATCAAGCAAAAACGCTGAAATCTATTATGCTTTTTTAAAAAATAGTTGTTGATAGATCGACTTGGGTACAACCAATAGCAGATATAAAATGTAGTTGTCTTGACAAAAATAAAATTCATCTCTTATTTTGGGTAATACTAATTGAATAATAGAAGCGATTAAGATTTATTGTTAAACTATAGTTATTTCAGGGACACTAGATTTTGTATTATAAGGTATCAGCTGCTCAAAAAGGTTTAGAAAATGGTTGTCAACATATTTTTAATATGCTTTAGACAGTTAATTTTAATTTATAGCTTATGGAAAGCATTTACCCATAAAGCTTACTTCTTACCATCGTTATGAAGGACACAGCAGTACTCTCTTAGCGAAAGAAGCATACAATTTGGTACATGATTAGATGTATATTCTTAAGCATAGCTGTGGTATTCCAGGAGCTATATAATTTTATTTACTAGTATTTTTGTATATATGCGGTCGATCACGAATTTAATCATCTAACTGCGTCGACCCAATATTTGAATAATATAATAGGTTAACTACTTTTTATTTATCGGTTAGTTTTCAAAATAATTGTATTAATATGTTCAGTGTATTTATATTTTTAAAAAAAGACATGTGGTCCGTACATTTTTTTCCTCCGCTCATCCTTTCTTCTTCGGTTTTTACTGCTTTTTTGATGTTTGCAGTTTTATGTTGGTCTATAGGGCGTTTAATCGAGGTTAGTTATTAGCTTAGTATTCTGGAGGACCACTAAGTAAATACTTAGTTAATTAGTTTTACTAGATAATTTTAACAGTTTATGAAAAACTTTATTTCAACATGGACTTTGTGGAGAGAAGCTATAAAAGACGCAGACTTTTTTAAAAAATAACCTACTTAAAATTTAATAAAGTTTTAATTAAGACTTATGGATTAAAGCATCTTTAAAATAATTACAAAATCTCTGATTGGCAAAATTTTAATTTACACCCCTTTGTACAGTGTTATAGATGCGATCGAAAAGTTCACTGTTAGAGGATGGATTAATATATCCACCAAGAGAGAGATAAGTAAACTCTCAGATAAACTCTTGATTATAACCTCCGATGAGTATCAAGGTTCGGGCCATGAAAGTTCACGTGGGAGCATTGAAGCTACCAAATATAGGAATAGTAGTAAGCTTGTCTGAGGCCAATATATTTGTCTGTAAAGCGCGCTCCAACGACGGCCTTAAATTTTAAGATTGCGAGGAAGGCTAATAAACCTATTCTCCTTCTATTACTGTTACTCTTATATCCTGCTGTAGATTAACGTAAGATATACGCGATAGGAGGGGTCGAACTAACAAAATAAAAAAACTTACAGTAGAGCTTTAGAGAAAGTATTAAATGCCTAACCAATGGCTTCGATCGGCGAATATTCAATGCTTTGTAGTATATTAAAAAAAAATTTAACGAAAAGTATACTTTTTGCCTTCGTAAAAACAGCGAAATAATTCGATAACAAACCATTACATACCTCTTTCACGCACGTGAAGATTGCTACAACTGCTAGGACTAGTGAAGTACATATGTAAATGACCCACTTTTTATTAAACGCAGTATAGACCAATAACAGCGCGCATTAAGCTACCATCTTAGAAATTATGCCGAGTCACATTACTATTTCGGGTAACTTAATAAAATGCTGTCAGATTAAGAAACGCAAGGTTGTTGGATATTATTTTACTATTATTCCTCTAGCACTGGCATATTACGGCTGGTCTTCTTCAGACTTTAAGCCGCTTAATCTGATTTTCCCTTTTCTGCAGGGGTTAGGCACGAATGTCCACCAGTGTACGCTCTTTATATAGCTATAATGACTGCCCCGAAGGACTGAAAAAGCGGACACCCGCCATTCGGCCAAAGTGTGGAGAAAACCGCTGAGCCGACCTTAGGCACAAGACTCAAGGGAGGATAAATTTTTATAAATAAATGAGCGTAGTTTTGCATTGTGCTTTCTTTGTCATTTGCTTAGTCTTTATAGATCCCACTTTATAGGGCTGCAAGGGTCGATAATTTGGAATATCAAAATTGCTTCGGTTTATAGGGCTAAAGCCCAGACGTGTTAAAAAGTTATTATGAAAGGACAGAAATTTTTGCACAGCAATGGTTATACCATATAAAAATGGTAAAAGGGATATAAAATAACTGACACTATTCAAGATTATTAAATTATTATTTTAATAAAATTTATTAAATCTCCCTTATTGTATATCAATTTTTATTGCGATGCATTAGAGCTATTTAACTTGAGTTTTAAGGCCTTTATAAGTTTTGTCATTCGAATTTTCATAGCATAAATATATAATTTTGACATAATTAAATACTGTTGAACTTAAAAACAATATTGCAAACAAGGAGGCCTTCAAATATATGAACGGCAGCCCCTTAGGTTATAGAATTTAAGATGGGATATCACCTATTACTAGTTGAAACAACATGAAGACTAGAAAGTGATAAGGTAAAACTAGTAATTGAATTGAAATGTAGCCGACAAAATTATAAGAATAATCTGAAAAACAAAGTTTTATTGAACCTTTACCAATTTTTGGTAATAAAAGGGTTAAATTAAATTATCAATGGCCAAGTGGAATACCAAACCACGTGGTTTTTAAACTCAAGAGATGGCCAAAGAACTGCTTTTTTCAGTTTGGTGAATTCTTTTTTATATATCCTTTGGGAGATACTGTACTTTTACCCCTTCCACTATTACCCTTATAATATCACTGGTCCTCTAGACCAATGTAAAAATAAAACACTCAAAACACGGTAAAAACCGAAAAAGAAAGAAAGAGCGAGAAAAAAAAAATTGGCCAGGCCACTCATGTGCATTATTTATTTATTTATTTATCGTTTCGACATAGTATAGTTGTTATATCTGCTATAACTTAGACTGCTTAACCTAAACTCCCTCATTACGGAGAGGGTTGAAGAGGTTATCCTTCTTTACAAATTAAGGCCTTCTGGTCGTCTCTCAGAACATTAAGACAAGGATGTCTGGGGTTTAAGCGTTTAACACATTTCCCGTCCTCCTCCTCAAAAAAAAAGATATAGAACATTATAATAATGTAATAAATGATCTAAAGACGTTTCAATACGGTTTTCAATACTCGGTTTTCTAAGATTGATCCAAAAAATGTTTAGGTTATTTATATTTTAAAAATGTGCGGGAATATAGTTCAAGGCGTAGTTATTAAATTGTTGAGATGTTCTTCATATTATGTAAAACATTTATAACCATCCGTTTGAGGCAAAGCAAAAGAGCTTCGATTACATATTCATGATGTAATTAAAAATTCCACGCAAACCAAGGTGCGCTTGCAAACATTCTGAG